CACAGACAGTAATAAAAAAACACGCGGCAGAAAATAAAAGATTGCTATTGTAGGTGATAAGCTGCAGAAGTGCATAGAGTAGGGTGGGTGGGGGGGGCAAACGCGAACACTCCCATGAGGCAATGCAAGGTTCTCATAGCCACAGGCACGAATCCCAGAGACAGATGCATCATGGGACTTGTAGTTTTACCACAGCTAGAGGGCTGCAGTTTGCCCCCCCCTTGCATAGAGGTTGGATCAGATCTTCTCGGACCACCAACCCAGAGAAAACCCCCAAAAATATTAGTAAATGATAAATAATGAAGAAATCCCCCTCTCTCCATTAATCCCCAGGTTCCAACAAATGTGTTGTATTCGCTGGATGTACTGCGCGAGCGTCAAACACTGACGTAGCCAAGTGCATATCATTCAGCATTTTAACAATGACAAACGTGAAAATGTCACCATCATGCTCATTTCTGTCCACGCAAACCCAACTTGATCTCATCTTAAATGGTACACAAACAATTTCCACAACACTTTTTCCTGCGTGCATTGTTATATGGGAAAAAACCCTCCACTTTGTCACTTATCCCTACACCTTGCAATTATATTTCGATCTTGTTCATGGCGTCATCGAACTGTCGTTGAATTTCCACACGACTGCCCCATCGTGCGCAGACCAATGTGGATTTCAAATATCGTTTGTTAGCAATACTAACTGACCGAATTTCATCGATCGACAGAACGGATTTGCGTTTGCGCATGTGCAGTGTTCATGTTGTGATTTTTTTCTTAGAAAAACGCCACTAATCCATCGATTTCGTACGATTCGAAAAACGTTTTCTAGCCTGCCTGGTGGAGGAAATTCGGCCGGTTGTACAGTAATTGTGATCGTTCACTTCCCATCAATTGGCCGATTATCATACGAAAACCCGATCGTAAAATGGTGTATGCGCACCATTAAAGCAGGGGTGCTCATTAGGTAGATCGTGATCTACCAGTAGCTCTCAAAGCTGATGCTGGTAGATCACAAAGGGTGTGAATGGCGGCCCCTTTATTCCATTTTGGTATATTTATTTAGCGGTGCACACATGATTACCTATTAGCCTGAGTCACTGAGCCAAGCTCCCTGACACCTTTCTGGTGGATACTGGTGGTTGAAGCGCTATAACTAGTCCTTTGAAAAGTAGATCTTAAAACACAAAAAAATGTTGGCACTGCTTTAAAGGAACACGAGTTTGTTCAAAATAAAGGAAGAACACTTATTTTAACACCTACCTAATACCATCCTAATACATAATAGCAAATTTACCAACACTTAGGCCTTGTTCACACCAAGCGCGTTCCAGGAGCAGAGCAGTTACAGACCGGATCAAAACTGCGTCCAATGTATTGCAATGGTATTTTGGGCTCTAGTTCACACCGCAGCGTTCATGTTTCAGAGCATGTAAAAAAACTGCAGCAAGCCCTATTTCACCTGCTCTGGAACACATGCAAACGCATTACAGAACGCATGCAAACACCCTGGAGCGCACTGAAAGCCCATTTTAAACTAAAAAAATATATATATTACAGCCCGGTACACATCAAAAACGCGGCAAAAAATGCAGCATAACACACTGCACTGCGTGTGCAGAAACTCATGCAGATCTGGTCTGCATTTGGTGTGAACAAGCCCTAAGCCAATGTGCAGCCCCCAGGATGACAGAGGATGTGCTTGTGGCCTCCCTAGACTTACAATATTAATCAGCACTACTCTACCTATTCCCAGTGGTATCCAAAACAAAGTTAATGGTTTGGCCTGGAGTTGCATTTCAAGTAAAGTAAAGCTGGCCACCGGTGGAACGTTCATACAAAATATCTCAACGAATGTCATTCTAAAATTTCATTTGATTTTAACATTTGACTTTGTAATGAACGGAGTTTCCTGTACGAAAACCACATTCGGTTAGAATTTCTGGTAGCTGTAGCTCGCTATATACTGAGCTTTTGGGTCACAGGAGGACGTTGGTATATGTCCTCCCGTGACCCTTAAGAGAACTATGGGGAAAAACACTTAACTCATCGTTTCTTAACTATTAGAAAATCGAGGGAACAAACACATTTCTTCACACGAACTTCTACCCATAAATGGCCAACTTAACGCTGCAATGTGCCACATTCAATCTACCAAGTACCTTAACTATTAACAAAAATGTGTCTTATTTGTGTGTCACTCGGCTGTAGATCCTCAAATCATCTCTGAATTGGTGCCGACTCTGTCCTTCCTTCTGGAGGGTGACTACTTTTGTTCCCCATGGTACCTGTGTGTTGCAAAGTAGCCACCTCTTGCTCTCATGATGGACTACAATCCCAATACAAATACATAAACTATACGCGTCACTGTGTGTTGTAAAGTAGTTACCACTCCAAGCTCACTTCCGTGATGGACTACAATCTCACATATAGTTTACTAATTTGTATTGAGATTGTAGTCCATGACAGGAGTGAGGTTGAAGTGTTGACTACTTTACAACACACACAGGGATCATGGGGAACAAAAGTAGCCCCCCTCCAGAAGGAAGGACAGTGTCAGCACCAATTCAGAGATGATTTGAGGATCTAAAGCCGAGTGATACACAAATAAGCTACAATAGTGTTCATAATTAGGGTACTTGAATGCATTTTTAAGACTTAACTCCGGAGTTTAGTGTCACTTTAAGCACAAGTAAAAACCACCATTTAGTCCAGGCATGTATTTACTGAAGTTCATTGAATGGAGCATAGTTGGGGATGACCAACACAGAATTAGATCTGCAGGTGCAACCGTGTCAAAATTTGACCAGGCTAGAAAGGCAGCATCAGAGTTCAGGCACAAGTCAAACATGTTTAAAAAGGCACACCTCACATACTAGATGAAAATATATATGAGAATATAATAATTCAGTGTACAGCACCCACAACAGGTTACACAAAGAAAAGTGCCAATGCATTTAAGCATAAATAAAGCAAACTGAAATTAAATAATATTTTAGAAGATATATATAGTTAGACTTCATTTTACATCTTTGTGCTGCCAGTGTGTGTTGTTTCTAAAGCATGTGATTGCTGTGCCAGAGGCTACGTCTCACAAGACTATTCAAAGGTTGTGTGTGAGCAGCAGGAGACATAGAGAAGCATTCAAAGAACTGGTGAAGGTGAATTCAGAACACACTAGCCTAGTTAGAACCAGTTAATATTAAAAATGCCAATAGCATTGGCAACTGAGCCCTTGCCAGATCTCTGGGTAATTGTGTGTTTAGCTATTATATATTCTGATACAGTTTAGCAAACCTTGCAAAACGGTTAGCAGAGGTGAACTCCAGGTAGACAGCTAAATCCACAGTTAAATACGTGCATGGGAACTTTATGGCCTGCCAAACTAACTGAAATTCTGCTTGGACGGTCTTGTGATACAGCCACCCTGCCACACAGCCCAACCAGAGCCAGATCCAGAATCATAGTATACTAAAGTTAAAGGAAACCTCTGGTTAGAGAACTTGGGAGGATGTCATAAATGAACTCTCCTTCTGTAAAATGCTAGGTTCCTGGCAGGCATGCAAGTCCTCTTGCCTCAATTTTTTGAATCGCTGATAGAGAACAGGTGTAGCAGGCTGATGAGATCTGACTAGTCTGACTTCCCTGAACTGTATACCTGGAACATCAGCAATGGCAGCACCTATGTTTCTATCATGACAGCTTTACTTTCAGCAATACAGCCCAGTTGAGAGCTCTACCCAGCTTGTGGTTGGCGATTGATGAAGCAGCAGTATAATGGTGAGGTTCTGTCCTGTGATCTCCACTACTGTGTGATCCCTATTCATTACAAATAATGTACAGTGGTACCTCGGTCCACAAACTTAATTCGTTTCACGATTCTGGTCGCGAACCGAATCGAACTGTGATCAGACCGCAATCTTGACTAGAGGAATCCATGACCATGTGTCAGAGGAGGGAAGATAACTGCGGTTGTTTTCTTCACCCGAAGCGGAGTTCTGACTCTAAATCCCATGGATTAAATGTCAAAGTACAACTTAAAGGAGAACTATGAGGTGAGTGATTTATACTTATCCTCATAGTTAGAGCTGACATGAGACATTGAAACTGTCACAGGTCGACTCTATAGATCGGGAAGTGAGCGAACACATACCGTCACTCGCTCCCTTCCCAATCATCTCCCTGCAGAGAGTGATGACTATTAGTCACCGTTCCCGCAGGATTTCCCCCCACCCCTCTCCGATCCTCAAGCGCTGACTGGAGGAACGGACGGGGGTGTGAGTGGGCACAGCTGTTAGATGGGCAGAGTTCACTGTCAATCAGCCAGCTGGGTGGATCTCGACAGTATTGTCGGGGACCCGTCCCGGCTGCGGCACTCTCAGCATATAGCGGGCAATAGATCGTTAAACACTGAGCTTTGGGTCACGGGAGGACGTTAGTATATTTGCTCCCGTTACCCTAAAGAGAACTATTTGGGGAAAAAAGGTTACCCCATAGTTTTCTTGTAAGCATAAAAAGAACCTGTGAGGATAGAAATATCAGAGCTGCCAATGCCGCTTTGCAAGCTCCAAGTTTGCCACTCTGATCTTGACTTCTATTTAATCAGTGTCCTGGCAAAAACATGTAGCTAGTGAAGTCTGAAAAGTCTACAGCCAAAATCTACATCCCTCTGAGTGACTCAATAGCAATTAAGGCCAACATGAAGATGACAGCTGTGGAGCCTGTCATTTTAAAAGTTAGCAAGTTCCATATTGCTGTGCGCGTCGGTTCTTTTGAATCATGGCTTAAACACTGTACACCTTGACTAGACCTTGATTAAGTGCTTGGGTTACCACACGGGCACACTGATATCTAATGCAGGGGTAAGACCTATGGTACAGTCAATTTTAATCCAGCCTTACTTTTACCTCTAAAGGGAACATACTGTAAATATACATAAAATATAAACACAAAAAGGCAAATAGCATTAAAGAAAGCATTGCAAGCTACAGTTTAAGCCATACCTGGATGTATCTCAGAGCACTCCGCAACACGCTGAGGTTTGATGTCTTCTTGTCATCCACATTTGGGATGTTCCTCTTTAAGGTTTCAAAGCATTCCTTCAGGTGTGCCCGTCTGCAGGATATAAAAAGGCACCCTTTATTGGTTCAGTTACCAAATATACACTATATACCAAATACAGGACATCATGAATATTTACTGTCAAAACTCAAGGCTGGCAGATCTAATACAATATCGATTTGCAAGCATATAGGAGATATAGATGTGTGTGTGTGTGTGTGTGTGTGTGTGTGTGTGTGTGTCTTTAAAGTAACAAAGAATCTTGCAAGCAAACTATTTTAGCTCTTTAAAACCCTACAAAAGGGGTTTTAAGGTCAACTGATGCACACACCCTCTTCCCCTAGTATCGAACTGCTGCCAATGTGTCCATGTCAAACTGCCCAGTCTTCCTACGTACATTAGATCATGAGGGAGATTTGACAATCCTAAGAAAAGCACTTTACAGACTGCTGCAGCATGGAAAAAGAGAAATACTTCAAAGGAGTTCTACATTTTATATAGAATGAATCTTCATTTATCTATTAAGGGACCATCTATATATCTCTGCAGTGCATGAACGTGCACACATTAACCCTCCGAAATGCTTTTCACCTCAGCTGGCCAGACCATTTTTGCAATTGTTCCTATTGTTTTGATTTTCTACTGCTGCGTTGGTAGCGTTTTTAAAAGACCCCCCAAATCATATATTTTCTGAAAGCACAGGCCCGGTAGAATAAAAAGATGGTGCTACTAATTTTGTAGGTCCTGCGATAATTGCCCAAATGTTTATCAAATCAATATTAAACTAATAAAAATACACAAATTGATAAAAGCACACTAAAATCAGTATCGGTGCACACAAAAAAATATTTTTCCAACTAAATTTACTTTTTTTTTTTTACTGTTGGGGGGCTTTGGGGAAATCTCAGGGGTCTAAACAGACCCCCGACATTTCCTTTTTGAAATAAAAAAAGAAATTGAGGACACAGAATCCTCAATCTCTTTTTCCTCAGTCTCTGTTCTAAATTAATGCACAGAGGCTTCCCATTCATTCAGAAACTGGTGAATTTAAATTATTTACTATCAACCAGTTTCTGGATGGGGAGAAGCCTCTGTAGTGTGTGCTTCTCCCCATTGAGAAACTCATGAATGAACAGGAAGTGATAGAAAGCACTTCCTGTTCATTCATAACTGGGGACACATAGTACTATGTGTCCCCAGTTATTTACAAACACTGGAGTGATCTGCTGATCACTCCAGTGTTTGCTCTGCACAGAGGATTGGTAAATATCACTGATATTTACCGATCCTCCACTTGGTCATGCACAGAGACGTGGTCATCCTGAAACTGACAGGATGGCAGCGTCTCTCCTCGCCGCTTGCTGCTCGGCCATCCTGACAGCAGGCAGTGCTCTCTCTCCAGAAGCATGGAGCGGCTCCAGGCAGGTAGGAGATGACAGATGCCAGCTGCAGGGGCGGAATTTTTGTTAATAACTGTCATCAGCGTCATCTGATAAACAGCTATTATTTTACAGGGGAGCGTTGGGGGAACCCTTCTGCTATAAGTTCATGGTCGCTAGAGCGACCATGAGCTTATAGCAGAAGGGTAAAAGCCACCAACATATGGCATACTGAGGTGGCCAGCTGCAAGCAGTTGTGTTCCGCCGTATACCATACGCCGGTGGCAGCGTAAGGGTTAAAGGGTACCAGATTGGAGGGGGTAATTCAATTTTCCCAAATTCACCTGGGAAAGTGGAATTAGCCTTTAAACTGTCTGTTAACATGCATTGAGTTAGGACTGCCCATTAATTTGAATAGGCTGCCTAACAGGCCAAAACAGATGCAGGCACTATTTTTAGCATTGCAGAGCACCACAAAACACGGTAGTGTGTTACTGTGTGTTGTGATCACTGGGAAAGATGCGGTAGGGTGGCATTTAGCATGAATGGCACTGCAGTGCACCAACATGTATGACGTGCATCGCCGTGTGTTACCAGAGTGCAAAAATGTGAATATTAAATGAGCAACAGAAACTAAAAGCTGAACCACAGTCAGGTATCAGAACCAGTATTTCAAGTGAGCATTCAGAAAAATCATGAAGACGCTCTTCACAACAAGTGTTGCGTTACTACTATATGTTATGGTGTGCTGTGTTATAACAGCCCGTTCATACTGAACACACGTTTTACCACTTGTAACAGCAAAGTACCAATTTAAACGGGCCTAATTATCAGCATGTACCTGAATGTGTCCTAATAAAAGCCTCTAGTTATCCCCTGCACTGCAGTACTCAGACTGGAAGTGGGCCCCCTAAAGCAATCTGGATCTACTGCTTTGCTTAGTGCTATCAGTCTATCATTTAACATGCTTACAGGAAGGTAGACCACAATCAATGGCTGCCGCTCCATTATTGTTAAACTAGTAGCCTAGGGCAGATCCTGTACTAGGTTGCATGACTCAACCATAGTATAGTCAGTGCTATCTGGCACCTGTCTGTAAAAAATAAATCAAGGCAACTGGACTTGCTGCATGTTTCTTGAAGACGTTTCTCTGATCATCCAACCAGCTTTCTCAATTCTGAAATGAGAAAGCTAGTCGGTGACCAGCGAAACGTCTTCAAGAAAAATACAGCAAGTCCAGTTGCCTTGTTTTATTGTTGTTTACAGATATTTCCATGACCTGGAAGAATGAGAACCTTCACAGACATACCTGGCACCTGGATCACATGACAAGTTGATCAACATTACAATTCCTTTGGCAGGTACAATTCACCTATTTGTATTTCAGCTGTGTATTTAAAAACCCAATTGATTGGAGTTCAGCTTTTCTATATACACTTCCCATTTAACATACAATTAGTGTTGCACATAGTCAAAACACAGTTTGCATGGCCCTCACAAAGTATTTAAAGAAACAAGGCCTGGGTTACATACACACCTGTTCTTCTCCAGCTTATTATGGACTTCTCTGGTACCAGCCCTACACGCAACAGAAAGAGAAAGCAAATAGGATGCTATTAATACAACAGAGTAAGATCTTATTAATGGAAAATTTCTAATTTGATTAAAAGGTTCTACAACCTAAAAATACTCTGTTGTATAGTGAGAAGGTTATTGCATGAACTGCTAGACAGTCCATGTGGGAGATTTGCTTAAATTCAGAGTGGCCTGCATGTTAAACGGACTGGATTAAGCGCAAGGCGAAATGTAATTCTTCCTTGCTTACAGCACACTCTACACACTGGTTACACTGCATATGCTAAATGCATCCATGTTAGTACACACAGCATATAGCAAATGTACATGCATTGCCAGCAGTGGTCAGGGTATACAATAGTCCTGTCTCATCGAGCATTAAAATCAGCAAGCCGTGAGCAGACGTCGTCTCCGAACAGAGATGGCTATGCTTGGTGCAAACAGTGCAGACATGGCCTAAGACTGAAAGGAGCCCTACATATAGAAATAAAAAAGGAGAAAGTGACCAAAAATAATGCAAAGCCAATGCAAGAGTATTCTATGGTATCACTTTCAAGGAATATCCACTACCATAAATTGCTTATATATACCCAGGAAAATACCTGTGTCTTGAGAGATGCAGCTTGATGCCCTTAATATGTAAAAGACAAGTCCCATTCACCTTAATGGTGAGCTGAGCTGCAGTGACACGCATGCTTGGGAGTCAGAGCTGCAGCATAATTCAGCAATCACAGGGACATTCCTTTTTTGTGCATTTTGGTTTAGCTGAGGTGCACCTCATTGCTAACTGTCTCTGCTTATGCACAACGACCTGCATTCAGCATAAAGATCAATAGAGATTTTCCTATATGATTGGACATGCCAAGGTTGTAAGAGTCTTGTGAACACGCAAGTGCGTCTTTTCAGATGCAGGTATCTTCCTGAAAGCAAAGTCATGGAAATTATGTGCATTCATTGTAAAATTCCCTATTTGCATATACTGCTATTATGATGTATCTTTTCTCCACCCTATTGCATGTTACCACTTATGAACTGCTAGAATGTCCATGAGACTGCCCAAACTTCCATTTTTAGGCCCCATTCACACTGGGCCTTTTGAGATTCCTGCGGCAGGAATCCAAGGTGACCCATTTAGATACGGCCACTGTACCCGTTCAAGTTAATGTCCAGGTGACAGTGGCCTCATCTGTAAGCGGGCAGTCCGCATGTAATTGCACAGTATAGATGCATCCAGGGACTGTGATCTATTCCAGACTGCATGTAATTGTATCATATACAAATACATGGAAACTGCCGTTTACAGATGGGGCCGCTGTCACCCAGTCATTAACCACGGGGGCCCTGGACGTTCCTGCCGCAGGAATGCCAGATTGCCCAGTGAGAACGAGGCCTTAGTTGTAATAATTCATACTATGTTTTCTTGATTAGATTTGATATGTTGGTTTTTATCTGTGTCATGCTTCAAAACTAGACTTCCATGTTAAAACCTAACAGCTTGAGCCAAAATGGGGAAAACAACACACAGTGCATTACACACATAATGCTTATGGCACTGAAGATCATACCCGTACAAAAGTTACATAATCAGGAGTTATAGAATGAAACTCCTATAACTTTGTTTTGTAGCCCAATGCTCTGGTAGCTATCATGAGATTACAGGACAATAAGTCACCTGTACCCGGATACATGTACATAAATGTAGAAAGTGCCTTTATTTTAGGGAACCATTTCTGCTGGCTCCTTTCACTCTGGCTGATGTCACTTAGTATGGGAAAAGGGCCATATCACAGGATTAATGCTTCTCTGATTTAGAGTGGTGATGACCTTCTGACAAGGGGCATGAAAGCTCAATGCTACCTCAAAATTTCAGACCCATGTCCTGGCTGCCAGCAGATTCAAGCGCTGCTATGACACTATAACATTGCAATGTATAGAGAGAAGCGATCCATAAAAAAGGCAGATAGTAATTGGTGAGCTGTAGCTTCCCTAGGATCAGACCTTATGCATTCTGTTGATTGGGAGTCTGTCTGTTCAGGGCACATCAGCATAGTGCAGTATAATGCAGTGGAGAAACACTTGCAAAAATGTTCCCATGTGCCAGCTGTTCGCTGTTGTCATTATATTGATTCTCACGGTTAAATCATTTAACTTATATATTCATTGTGTCACAACATCTTCAAAAAGATTTATAGGTATGTAGATATGTTCACCTTTTTGACTTATGTGTGTGCAAGTCTGCTTTGTTACGAGAAAACAGTTTCTCTATAAGCTGGCTGAGTGAAAATGCCAAGCTTGGACCTGTCCATTTAAGAATCTAAAGCCATTCTAAAATGTAAACGTGGCTTTCTCTGTGTTACGCAGCTGGGGGTAATAAAGTTATACATGATCAATATATCCTTTAGGATTAGTGAGAATTCTTAAGAGTTCATTATAACTGGAATCTTACCCTCCAGGCCTCCTCCTCTGCTCATTAGACCTTCCATCGTCTGGAGTCGACAGCCTCAGGGCACCAATTGGCTGTGGTGGAGGCTGCTGCGAGTGTGTTAGGGCTGTAGGCTGGGGCTGTATAGGCTGTTGCGGCGGCTGTTGTTGGTGCGGTAGAAGTTGCTGCTGTTGCATGAGGTGGTGGTGTGCTATTGTCAGAACAGGGGTTGAGTAATGGTGCAGCTGGTTGGGACTTCCAACACTCAAAGGTGCAGTTTTAATTTCTTGAAGTCCAGGGCCCACTGGTCGCTGTATGACAGGAGCCAGGGAAACATCTTTGCTAATAACAGATGGGGGGGTAACAACAGGTGGTTGACACTGCACAACAGGCGGTGACAAAGATGTTGGAACTACTGGTTGGGGGGCGCTGGTTACTACAGGGAGAGGAATGACAGCTACTGGAGTTGGTAAGGGAGGAGGTGGAGGAGGAGGTGGTGCAGGTGCTGGTGGAGAAGCAGGATCTGGTGGGGCCTGGTTTGTCAGCTCTTCTGTTTGAACGGTGCTTTTCTTGTCTTCTTCTTCTTCCTCCTCCTCTTCTTCCTCTTCCTCCTGTTTCACCAAAAGCTTATCATTTTCCTCTGTAACAGAAAAGGGGAAAAAACAAACCGAATGAGATCAAAGCGACCTTCTCCATGTTACTCCTAGTCTGCTGTGTGCTTCTAATGTGACCTTTTAATAATTCATGGCAAGTACACAGCAATTAATACCTCCTATTGTTCTGCATTCCGAACAGCGTGTTAACTGTGCCAGCCATTCGGAATAAAACCCCCCAAAAAAGACTGCAATACCAGTATAAAAAAAGAAATCTACATTTTAGTGGCATCCAGACGCACATTCACAATATGACAAATCAATGCTAAACTCTGCACTAGCAAATCACATTTATAAATGAAGAAGACCTTTTTATAGGTATTATTCTTTTGTGCAGCAATCCTGGAGGTACTGAAATACCAGGTTGATGCATGGAGTGGACAAAGCAAGCTCTCCTTCCATCTCCCTGGTCTATAAATCCATATAATACATGGTCCTAAGGCCCGGTTCACACCTGGGCGTTTTGTAGCGCGTTCCTACGCTCTGCAAAACGCTCAAACACCGAAATCCCATTATTTCCTATGGGTATGGTTCACACCTGGGCGTATTACAGACCGTATGAACGCGCTACAAAACGGCCAAAGAAGTACAGGAGCTTCTTTGGGGCGTTTTTGTTGCACGTTTCCATTGGGATACAGCCAAGTAGCTCTCGGAAACACGCGTTTTTGCGCGACAAACGCGCATATTCGATAAGCCTAGGTGTGAACCCAGCCTAAGAGAGAGGATGTATCAGATATTAAACCGATATTAAACTGATGAGATTACACTTGATATTGGCCAAAAGGCAGAGAAGCGATATGCTTCCGTTTGAGATTTTTCTCTGACCCAGATTATAATCCGAAAAGGACAGTTTCTGGTGATTCTGACATTACTGAATTGTTGGGACAAGAAACATAGGTCTCTAAAAGCCCAATCCCGGAAAATTTAATGAAATTCATTCGGTTATACAGTTTTTTGCCTGTGCCTTCCGCCAAAGCATATTCCCAATCCAATACTAGCTATGATCACTCATAGCATTCTGGTGAGCTGTACCATGCAACAGGTACTGGAAATCGAATGATAGCAGGCTCTTATAACATGACATAACAGAACATGCAGCAAAAGTCTATGCAAATACCGACTTTCTCAAAGTCTGTATTTGCATATGACGGCAATCCTTTTATCACCCAGATCGAGGAAACATTAACTTCGGTTGATTCCTAGGCATTACCACGGTTTGCAACTTGGACTTTACAATTTTTAAGCCTGTTTATGTATATGCAAAAGAGTAGTTAAGCTTTGTTAGAAGAACTGTCAATAAGTGCCTTTCCTGCCCCCTATTTAAGCATGTGCTGTATGACTGCCCATATAGTTTGTCAACTAACCAATGAGCAAACATATCATACCTGAAGCTACAAACAAGTCCATTTTTACTTCCTAAAAAATACTGACAAAATGCTCTGGTTACATATGTGGCAATGCTTAAATGTTTTGTCCACTCCAAACTGTCATTCACTATCGGAATCACCCACATTTTTTTTTGTAACGTTCTGGTCCTCTGGCAGCGAGAACCCTGCAGGATGCCAACCGAGCAGCCCCTGAAAAGCCAGATCTGAAAGACTGCGTGTCAGGGAACCAGGGGTCTTACCTCCCCGCAGGGTCAGCGCCCTCTTCTCATCTGCACTGTAAATCTGGTTCTCCTTACGCAGACGGACAGCTTCCATACGGCGGAATAACTCAGCAACAAACCAGGGCTCTGGCCAGGTTTTTATAGCCAGGGGGTGTAAGTCCGCCCCCCCGTCACCAAGACAACTAGGTGGCTTCTCTCCCCGAGAGCCAATTGCAGGCGAGAGGTGGTATGTGTGGGCTTGCAACCTCCCCCAGCAAAGCCCACACCTGAGGCCCAAACTGGGCGCTATGTGCGCGCTTCCGGGGATGCCCGCGCAGCCTGTGTATTGCGCCCACCGCGCATGCGCGACCCGGGCGCCAGTGGTTCTGCCAGGCTGGAGGGAGACCCGTACCCTGCGCCGTGCTCGCTGACCCTGCGGGGAGGTAACACCCCTGGTTCCCTGACACTGTGTGAATCAAAGAGCTCAGAACACACCACATTACAGTTACTATACCAACACACAAATCCATCAGATGTAGGTCTGCACCACATGCACCCACTTGGCCCTGCCAGGTCATTTTAGTTCAGAGCAGGGTGGACACATTTTGTCTACTCCTTTAATAAAATGGAGTCCTACACACAGCACTTTTTTTAATGAACAATGCAGAAGCCTGATGTCTGTGGCTAGCGTGTAGTAACAGTAGAAATATCCCATCAGTCCATTTCCTGGCTCTTTTAACAGTTAATACACAGGGCTTATTTAAATAGGTTGTGCTCCACTTCAGCAAGCACTTAGTCATTGGCATAGTAACCGTGATGTGGTGGGAGGACCAGTTTGAGAGATTCCCTTCTGTCTCTCAGCTAATGCAGAACACATGCTTCTCTGAAAGAGAAATGGAACGGTTTGCCAGCAAAGCCATTTGTAGTTGCTCTTTCACATGCAATCTGTAAATGGTTTGTGCACGTGTAAGAAGCATGAACCGGCATCGCCAGCACTGCTACTTTCTAGTGTAATAGTATATCTTGAAAAGGGTTACTTGATTCACAAGGGGTGAGTGATATAAATGTGGGCACCACAATGTGGCACAGTTCTGGCCTGAGTAAACTCAAAGCAGAACGGCTGCCATGGAGTTTATGTACACTATCAACATGATTTGCAATGCTTTACTGAAGAAAAGAAATGCTTCATGTATGAAAAAGGTGCAAACAAAAACATTCCATCAATCGGCTACAGATTATTATTCCTGTAGCTCGTGATTTGAAAATAGAATAAAAGGATTCTGACTCCTATGGACAACAATATATGTTCTGGTTTGTGCATAGGCCCCATCAGATTTTGTTCAACATTGCAAAGCACATTAAAGGCCTTGTTCACACCAAATGCCCAGCAGATCCGTTCAGATTTCTGCACACGCACTCTAGTCTTTTAGGTGCGTTTTTGATTTTTTTTAAAATCAAAAATTTTAACGTTTAAAATGGGCTTTCAGTGCGTTGCAGGCATTTGCATGCATTTTTATGCGTTTGCAGATCCAGAGCAGGTAAAATAGGGCCTGCTGCAGTTTTTTCACCTGCTCTGGACCTGCACGCTGCGATGTGAACTGGAGCAAAAAATACCATTGAAATACATTGGACGCAGTTTTGAACCGGTCTGCAACTGCTCTGCAGCTGCTCCGCGCTTGCTGGGAACAAGGCCTGATAGTCCTAGACAAGGGGTTATTTATGCTGAACCATTTTGCTTTAAAACCCGCAGCCTCCGACCCTGAAAAATGACACAGATAAGGCTTTCTGATTTTCCTTTGACTTTCTTGATCTGCATACTTGGAAGAATGGAAGGCAGAGAGCCTGTCGAAGAGGCTTGTCCAAGTTATGTGACCGACCTCTCCAATCATGGAGTTCTCTCTGCAGCATTAGGCAGAGATTTCCATGGGACACCGAAGGCTCCACATAACGCCCTGCATTTTAAGAATGGCATGTAAACTACGTTGTATCCTGCTGTGTCCAGCGGAGACCTCTTAGTGCCAATGAGTCAACATAACAGCCAGGCATCTAGCATTCTCAGAAGGAGCTCAGCAATGGAAGCCCCATATTTCTCTCTTGAGAATTTAGTTTGCTTTGAGAGTTATTTTTATTCACAAATATGTCTTAACATCTAAAAGTAAACAGTTTAGCGTAGTTCTATGGGTGGCTCCATGACAGCCAAAATGCAATAGATCATGCCAAAAACAACTCCCCACACCAGGGGCACGCTTCCTTTAATTGGATCACATTCAAAAGACACTCAATATAAATATCTTCTTTACAAAACAACAAGCATGTGTACAAATATATCTCTCCTTCTAAATGACTATTATATTAATACATGCTACAATGTTCTGCAACGTCCTATCCTTCCATCACATGATTGTACTGTATATAAACTGAGCCTGCACACACTATGATAGGATTAGGAAACTGCCTTCAGATCAGGGTGTATAGTAACAAAATGTGGTGTGTCTAGTTGGCTTCACAGATATCATGTGCGGTTGACAAGTTTCCCATTCCTGACCTATTCAAGCTATGAGCGAGCCAACTCCAGGGATGTGTCTATGTCATATTTGTGGGTGTTTTGTTTTCCCAAACAAAGTCATGCCCTTCGTGTTCCACACCCTGCTAGATCATATTTCTCTTTGTATCAGAACATCTTGCATTTTAAACAGTTGTCAGCAGAGATGTGAGAGAAGATACTGTTTGCCTTTAGAGTGGACCTTTTATAAAAACTTCTGTTTAAAGCCGGCCATACACTATGCAAATTGCGGCTGGTTCTTTATGAACGGGCAAAATTTGCACAGTGAGTGCCATTGTTGGCACCCTTTCCGCTAGCAGCCCTCGATCAGCTGATCGAAGAAGGCGGTTGGAAAACCTTCAAACGAACAGAGCCGGCAGCCAATGAGCTGCCTACTCTGTTTGGTATTCTGACAGTGGCCGGCAGCAGTCAGAATCCATTGAAGACAGCGGAAGATACCTTACGAGCTTTGATGGAGGAACCGGTTATATTTCCTTCATTCAGCCCACGGGTTGAACTAAGAAAATATTACAGTGTATGGCAAGCTTAACTCACAGTCCCCCCTCCAAATACCAATGGCTTAAAAGCAAAAAACAAAGCGTATGCGAAAATAAATAAAAACTAACCTTGGTCTGGCTTCTGATGCTTAAGGGGCTGGTGAGAGCCCATGCCAGAAGCAGAACCAAGGTGTTTGATTTGTTTAGCAAGTCTAAGCTTTATTTGTCAATTACTTTTGTATTTGGATGGCAGGGGCTGCGAGTAACGCGGACCTCACATTTTCATTGAGAGTCCAATTTTGTTGCCATCACTGACCCTCCATCGAGAACACCTACAGGGTTATTCACAAAAGGGTGAAG